GGATTGGCTACATTAGGGGTGTGTGGCCTAACATGCAAAGGAGTTCCTGCTCCAAAAAAAGCCCTGGGTTTTGACCACAAACAAGGTAAACAGAATAAGAAGCAAAAGGTGGGTGTGGCTGGATGACCACACTTCTGGTAACATGGGGATGCGGCTTGATATGCTAATGAGCGGTGCAGTCAGGGGTGTGGTCTAATATGCTAATGAGTTTCTGCTTCTGGGTGTGGCCTATTATGCTAATGAGTTCCTGCTGGACTTTTTCTACAAAAAAAGCCCTGCAATCCAGTAAAAGATACATCATGTGAGGCTGCTGGTTTTATGTGTTACCTCTATTGACTTTCTGAAAACTCAGATGTTCAAACCCCCCCCCTCCAGTGCAAAGGTGAGAAGTGGAACCCCAAGAAGCTTCAGCTGTTGGCTCCCTCAGCAGAAGCCGATCAGTACCACTAGTGTGGCATGCTTTTTCCTTCTCTCTCCAGGTTAACAGCCCTGACTCAGACCGACGAGACAAGAAAGGGGGAAACTATAAGAAAAGGAAGCGTTCTCCCTCTCCTTCACCTACTCCAGAGGCTAAGAAGAAGAATGCCAAGAAAGGGTGAGGACTCATGAGACAGAGCCATTCTTTCTTCCTCTCTGGTTCACATGTAGGTTCTAAGCCCAAAGTGATTCTGGCACTGCACATGTGAACTTTGTGCCCGATTCTTTAAATCGCCAGCCTCTGAAGAATGATCAAATCTTATATAAGCCTGGATAACTTCTTGCAGCCACCTCTTCCTTCACATAATATGAGGAACCTAGCTTTTTAGGACTGGCTGGTTTGGAATACACAGAAGTTCCTTGTGTATCCGGAGATACTTCCTTTATTACATCCACCCCAAGTACTGGTTTAGTCAGCACTCTTCATTCCTCCTTGTTTCTATATGTGAATGCATGATCCCATCTCTTATCTGGTCTTTTTACTGGGAGAGAAGCAGCTAGGACCTCTTTGCAGCAGCTAGCACTTTAATGGAGAGACACTGTGCCCCTTTGGTCAAAGGTTTTGATAAGTAATGCAAGGGAGCCCAGAGTTTTCTGCTTCTTTGGGGTATCTCTGAGAAGGCTCATTAGATAGCTCCTCCTTCCCCACCTCCTACAGGCCTTCCACTCCCTATACCAAATCGAAGCGGGGCCACCGGGAAGAGGAGCAAGAAGACCTCACAAAGGACATGGATGAGCCTTCACCTGTCCCCAATGTTGAAGAAGTCATACTACCAAAAACAGGTCAGGACCAAATCGCTCAAATATCACTTTCATAACTGTTGTTCTTTGTTACACTCCTTAGATTGGTATTTGTAGGTCAAGTTTGTACTAGCAGATGTTTCCACGACAAGCAGTGCCTCCATACTGCTGTGTGTGGTAATTTGGTGAAAAAACAAGCTTTTAGTTTCCATTCACTATGGCTTTCTGTTCCCAATAATGAAGTAGGGGTAAACATGAACTTACAGTGGGGTGCTTCAGTGATAGTGATGGCAAATGTGAAGATCTTTGGAATTTTTATCCTAGTAAAATATTTTTTTCTTGTTCTGTCTTTCATAGTGAACACCAAGAAAGACTCTGAATCTGCTCCTGTGAAGGGGGGCACTATGACTGATTTGGGTAAGAGGCCCATTGTCTTTTGCGATTCTCTGTTCCTCTTTGTAGAGCAATAAGAACAGTCCCGGGCATGCAGTGCTCCCCTCTGCTGTTCAAGGAGTCTTACTTTGTTTTTCTTTTAATGAGCCACATGCCACAGGGAAGCAAACAGCTTTTTGTCACTCCCCAACACATTATATTGTGGTCTTGAAGTGTGCATGAAAATCCCTTTCTTTGAGTATTAAGACTGGCCCTGATCCTAATGCCTGCTTCACATGTGACATTTTCCTTGCAAGGATCTGCTACTGTGGAGGAGGAGATTACTTGCGTGCTGAATTTACATGTGTTTCTAGCAGACCTCCTGATGCAGAATCCCAGTGTGTAAACCAGGCAAAACAGACATTTGTGAAGCAGCCCGCATAGCTCTTCTAAATATCTCACATGCCTGGTTTGCATGAACTGAGTTGGTAGAGCCAATACTCTGACGTTCTTGTTGAACCTGGATCACCTCCTCAGACTGTTAGATTCTAATCCAGTGGCCCCTTAGAGACCAGCAAGATTTCCGGCCTATGAGTTTTTGAGAGTCAACAGACTCATATTGTGTAAGAATACCGAATCTGGTACCCTAGAGGAAGGGAACAAGAAGCGATGGGTGTATCACCCAGAATCTTAAGATGCTAGCTAGTTTTATGAGTCCAGGGGGGATTACACCTGTTTTCCCTCAAACTGC